CATGAAAATACACTTGATAACTGCTTGCAGACTTCCAATGGACATTGTTTATGTTTGGACTGTTGAAACAATAGCAAAATAAAGGGTTGGGCAACTACTCTTTTGTTTAGGCTTGGGAAGAACAATGCAAGCTTTTTACAAATAATTTCAGCTGGATGTACGTTGGTGGGCGGGTGTTGAGAGTTACTGGGCGGCCGTAAAACTTGATGGGCGGGCCGCCCGCCTAAAACCCCTTGTGGAGAACACTGAACTATTGTGGGAAGGGAAAACTGGCGACGAGCTGTAATGACCTCACTTTGCCAGGAAAGAAATAAAATTTAGGGTTTAAAATGCAATTTCTAAAGATAGTTGTTCCTAGTCAGGAAACTTGTGAAAAATTATTAAAAGCAGGCAGTTTTATAGCTAGGTTTCAGAAATGTCAGTTAGCAAGCCATTTTGTATTCTGTAGACACTCAAAGTGTTGCATTTTAACCTACTAGTACTTACTAAATAAAGCCATCTACACCAGAACACGACAGCACCACCCCACCCCACCCTGCCGTTAAATGCTAATTTCATTGGAACTAGAATTCAGATTATTTCAAAATGTGGTCTTCCAATTTGGTATGAAACTATTCCAGCTTTGCAGAAATTGTACACTGACTAGTCAGTGAATTGCCACTATACTGATGTAAAGAGAACTGTAAACAACAAAGCTCTGATCTATTGTGGTATTTTTTTTTCCAGGTCTATGGGAATGAAATCTTTCCAGGATAATAGTGAGTGTACTGCTGGAATAAAGCAGGATTGTGTTCATATTGGCTTGCAATGATGAAACCATAGTTCAGCAGATGTAATATATGAAGAAATAAGGGAAATTAATGTCTTTTGCCCCTATCTGAGTCAAGCTGTTGTACAAATACTAAAATAATATGGAAATAATAACAAATAATGTAACAATATGAAAACTTTACTTCTTCAGGTTCAAGTGAAGATCTGATTTTCCCCTACAGTTATAGATTTCCATGAAATTTTACAGTCGTAGGTAATTTGAATGTCTTACTTTTAATGTGGAGTTTATGAAAAACTTGTTGTATATGCTTTGCCAATGATGACAAAATGTCGAATGTTCTTGACTTTGAATGAAGACTACACTACCGAGACCTGAGGCAAACAATTAATTTATTTTGCAAACGAGTGTCGGTTTTACTTTTACTTATGAAATGCAAATTTCCTTATTTCCTAGATTGTCAATGTTCTTAGTCAAGTTTTCAAACCCTGGCTGATACCGCTATGATTGTCTAATTGTCGAGTTTCCTGGATTTCGACATCATTGAACAGGTGAGCACGGGATATTTCAGTAAATACCTGTAGTTGGTGAAATTGTGTATACTTTGCCAATGATGTTAACTATATTTGCTACTCTTGACTGTTGGCATGACGACTTAACCACCTAGATCGCTGAGGCAAACTATCCACATTTAGTTACACACACTAGTGACATTTAGTTAGATTTGAATTAATAATTTGTTTCTTCTATTACAGATGACAGACTTGCAAAAGAGAAAGAAACTGGGGTAGGTATTGATTAAAATTAAACTTCCTCATTGCTTTGTTGGTGCAACACCTTTAAAAATAGCTGCAAGCAATTTTACTGAATTCAACTTTTTATTTGGCCGAATTTGTTTAAGATTTGTAGTTGGTGAAATTGCCAATGTTACTGTGAAATACTTAATTTTCGCTGGAATTAATTTTCGCTGAAAAGGCTTTTTGGGCATTTTGTATGGAATTTATTTTCACTGATTTTTGATGAGTTTAATGTAAAATATAGGAAAAAAAGTATATTCGCTGGATTTTATTTTCACGGAATCATCCCTTCAGCGAAAATAGCGAAAATAAATTCCAAGCGAAAATAAAGTATTCTACAGTAACTGTATTTGCTACTCTTGACTGTTGGCATGACGACTAAACCACCTAGATCGCTGAGGCAAACTATCCACCAAATTCATATAAAGTGACATTTAGTTAGATTTGATTTAATATTTTGTTACTTCTATTACAGATGACAGACTTGCGAAAGGGAAAGAAACTGGGGTAGGTATTGATTAAATTAACTTCCTCATTTCTTTGTTGGGTGACACTGCTAATATAGTTGTAATTTTATTGAATTCAACTTCTGTGTTGGCAGAATTTATTTAGATTAGTGAAGTAAAGAATGCCTGAAACCAGACTGCCAATGATGTTTACAAATGTCTTCAAGGTTCACAGAATTAACATTGTTGAAAAAACATTTAGTTTTCTGAGGTAGTCTGTTTACAATAACTTAAATGTAATTGCAGCTACACATATACATGTTTTGATGTACTATTTTATTTGCTTTTTTCTTCAGAAACTTGCAAGAAATTCAGAAATAGAAGCAGCTAGCAATCTGTTTGACAGAGGTAGGTGTTCTCCTAATTTAGTGTGCAATACGACATTTTCAATGGAAGTTGCACATAAGGCCAGACTTTTATTATCCTTTGTTTCGCGAATCCGACGAATGAACAGAAGCTGAAAATAAAATAATTTTTTATTTCATTTCTTCTCTCCAATCAATGGTCTTGCACTTAAAATTCTTTGAGAATCACACAAATCTAATGGGAAAAAAGAATTTCAAACAAATTGCCTAATGAAAACTCGAGAAACAAGGAATACAAAAAAAGGCTGGCCTAAACCATAAATTTATTGTAGATTGACCTTTGACATGTCAGTCATTTACACATGCACGTGCTACTTATAGAGCCATTATGGAGGTGATACACGGCTTGCAATGATGAAACCATAGTTCAGCAGATGTAATATATGAAGAAATAAGGGAAATTAATGTCTTTTGCCCCTATCTGAGTCAAGCTGTTCACTTATAAAAAGCGTGGTAAATGTACATTATACAAGAATCTAATCGTGTTTTGATTTAATCTTGCAGCTTTGATGTAGTTGTGGCAGTTTGACTTTAGGTAAGTTGGTTTATATTTCTACATGGCTTTGTCAATGTGTTCTTCCTTGGTAAAATGCCCAAGCACTGTGGCTACAAATTTCCCTATCAAATATCAATTGCTTTACAGTAAAGGTATAAACATGTCCACCTTTACTTACAGCCAGACTTTTTTTATTCCGTTTCTCAAGTTTTTATAATGAAATTGGGGGGGGGGTAAAATCTTCCCCCCCCCCCATTAGATTCGTGTGATTCTCAAAGAATAAGAGATCACAGAAGAAATAAGATAAAATTTTATTCCATGTATAACCTCGTTTCTCATCTGTGTGAGACTTAGGTACTTTGATCATGTTGCTCCCAAAAATGCAACGACGTTTTTCACCAGTGATGTAAAGTGGAATATTTGCTACTTGACTACGTGAATGATATATTATACCACCAAGATCTGAGGAGAAAAACACAAACTTAATCTTTATTTCAAACATTTCATTAATAATTCTAGCATTAATTGTCTTTACTGTTTTTTTCCTCCAGACTTTTGAACCTGGTGTACTCTGCGAATTGTTGAAGGTAGGTTCAACCACTTCTGCTTGAAAAAATTGAAACATTGATGGAGCTAAAGTCATTGGTTAGTTACTATCTGTACGACGTCAAGTGATGACAAACTTTACATTATAAATCTGATATTAATGATGAATTTATCAGTATTAGCTCTAACTGAAGACGTCAACATTGCCATGTAAATATAGAATAGTTGTATACTAAATTATTTAATAACTTTCATTTATTTATTTTCTCAGAAATAAACCCTGATGTGCACAGCACCATCTTGGCTCTTTCGTGCAAAGGTAGTTTCAGGTAAAGTTGTATTTTTTTTCTGTATACTTCACATTAAAAATCAATGTGAAAATTTGACAACTTATGCAGTACCTTTTTGTACATTCATGATGATAATTTAGGATGCCCCCGGATGAAAGATGTGATTATTTCCTATTATAGTCCAAGAATTACTGATAATGTACAATATTGCACAAAGTTTCACCACCCCCCCAAAAAAAGTTTTGATAAACTAACAAAATTTTTATTGTAATTTATGGATGCAGAACTAGTATTATATCATGAGAAATTATTGCAGTGTGGCGTTCATCCCTTATAATGTCGTTAATATGAAGAAAGTAGTGAAATTAACAAGGTAAGTTGAGTGTGCTCTTTTCCAATCTTTGTATTCGAAAAGCATAAATAAGCAGCATATCAGTCTTTGTTGTAATTTATGGTTCACCAATGATGTTTTTATAATTCTGCCAATATGAATAGCAATGAAATGAAAACCTTCCAAGGTTTAGTTCTGAGGTAACTAACAGATCTAACTCGTACGTCTTTACTGTACATGTGATGAGTACTGATACATATTTGTATTCCTTCATTTTAGGACAACTATGACTTGCTGTGTACAAGGTGAGTACCAACATGAAACAATATAGTCCAAGAATACAAGACAGTCTTGTGTGCGTAAAAAGCATGTTCAGCTAAAACTAAATACGGAAATGCAAGTGTGCATTTTTCTCAGTTTTGCTTGATGTTTGGGAGACTCAATTTTCATACGACTGGGTTTGGGGGTGAGAAACTTGAATACTATTCGTAAAGCACCAAAATTTGAAGTTATGTTTTATTACATCTTGAGCTGTTTGACACCGATGATGAGACCTAATTCTGCCATATGAGTAAAGATGATATAAATCAAATTTACCGTTCCATTGACTGAGGTGTTAAGTTATGTTAGTAAGGTGCTAATTACAAAACAATCTGATTCATCTCTGATGTAGTGTACGGCTTAATTATTTTGGCCATAAACTTATTTTTTA